GTGAAGTAGTACTACTGCAGAGAGCTTGCTTACAGAAGCAATAGAAGACACAGGTAGAGTAACATACTCATCCATAAGTCAATAAACTAATACAACATGCAGAAACCAACTATCAGTTAATGGTTCATAATTTGGATATGTTCCCCAAGTAACAAAACAACAAAACCATTGAAGATAAGCATAACTATAGAAAAAAGCATACAGCTCAAAAAGAAATCCTAGTAAAACGGTTGAGAAGTTTCAATGCAATATCTACACCAATACCACCAGATAAATGCATTGCATAGGATATAAGAAAGCAGCATACTGAAGTATTACTGAGAAGAATTTACTTATAGCAGTCATATATGAATCGGTTCCGCTATTTGGCTCGCGCTTTAACGCGCGAGCCAAAGAGCTTTTTCCTATATGAATTAACCCAAAGTGACATGCTCATCTGAGGGTGTGTTTGGATAGTAGCTGTACCCATGTTCAACACAGATATTTAGTTAAATATTGTTGCAACACCAAAATAGGCTAAAAACAGAGAAGTCGTGGATGCTGTCAAATTAAAGAGCGTATAAAAGACAATAGTTCAGACTCCACAATGTTTTTAGTGTTGGGTAGCAGGTTATTGGGCCAAACAAGATTCCTAGTCTGTTTTGGTTTTGGTTTTAGAATTGTTGAATTCCTAGTATGTTTTGGTTTTAGGGTTTCTATATATATGGAACTTTTTATAAGAGAAATTAGAGAGAAAAAAGAGTCTTTTGAGCACTTTGAGAGGGAGATTATTGTGAGGGAGTGAGAGATTGTTCGTTAGGGTTATTTTGAGTGTTTGAGAGAGTTGTAACCCGTTGTTTTCTCCTTCACATAGTAAAATCTCACCATCCTCTCCCTGTAGACGTAGACAATTCGCCGAACCACGTAAATTTCTGTGTTTGTGTGTGATTTTGGTCGTTCTTTTGTGAATTACACTTGTTGGTTGTTTCTCCTCTCATTGCTTGACGACTCATGTGGGTGTTTGGTTCGCGAGCACGCTTCCGCCAACGAAGCAACATTTGGTATCAGAGCTCTAGGGTTTCAGACCTAGGGTTTGTTTTAGGTGGAGAAAAATTCGTTGTTGGAAGCTTGGATCTTGGAGATCTAGGCTTTGATGAAGATAGCATTGCGGGGTTGCCAGTTGGAGATCTCGCATTCCTCGTGTGGTTGGGAGTTCATGTTGGAATCCAATCTTCTAAGGTTCAAGTTGGGTAATTTCTCAATTCTATCGGTTGTTCGAATTTTCTCTACAATTTAGAGTTAGCAAGCAATGACAGGAGATAGTGGTGAAAGCAGCAAGGCTATGACAAGTACAGTTCATGTTGCACTTCAGAATACAAATACCAGTGCTGTGAAGTATGACGATAAGATCAACTTTGGGTTGTTGATGAGTGATGTATAGGATGCTTTGAATGCTCAGAGCTTAGAGGAGACCACCATGCCCGAAGTATGATGAGACGATATGGGACAAGATAAATCGAAATGCTTGTGGGGTGATTAGATCTTATTTGGAACAAGAGTTGAAGTACGATGTTATCGACATGACGTTTGTGATGAAGATGTGAGAGATTCTCAACAACAAGTATCTTACGAAGAGTGTTGAGAACCGGTTGCACTTGTTACGAAGATTGTTCAGATTCCAGATGTTCAGGGATACCTCACTTGCAAATCATGTGAGCAACTACACAAAGTTATTGTCGAACTTGACGAATGTGGATGAGAAGATATCGGATGGTACATGACGATTATTTTATTAGGCTCATTATCCGATGAGAAGTATGATACCTTCATGCTCACTTTATTGAACGATAGATCTTCCATCACCTATAGTAAAGTGACTAATGCGTTGACAAATTTCGACTTGAGGAAGGATAAATATTTTTTCAGAGCTAGCACTTCAGCAGAGGCATTGTCGACGAGAGGTAGGAGTCCCTATTCCAGAGGTGACAATAGAGGCAGGTCAAAGTCAAGATGTCACTACCAATTAGCGAAGAACCAACGTACTTTCTGTAAAGTATAATGACATTAGAAAAGAGATTGCCTGAAACTCAGAGAGAAGGAGAATAGCAAGAAGAAGGGCTCGAAGGCCAGCGAGGTGAATGTTGCTAAGAGTGATAACGATTCAGACAATTCATGCTTTTCTCTATTGATTACTTCAGAGGTTAATCATGTTGATGCATCAGATTAGATGCTAGATTCTGGAACTACTTATCATATGACTCCCCGACGAGATTGGTTTGCATCTTTCGAGAAGCTTGATGGGGGTGTGGTGGTCATAAAAAACGATTAGTCTTGTGGCATTTGTGGGATAGGTACCGTCAAGCTTCGCTCTTGAAGTCTTACAACTCTCATCAGGTGTACCCCCGACAGAGGAGATATCGCAGGTGGTGGAGATTGATGCAGCTCCACAGAATCCAGATGGGACCGTATCCATTAGAGTACCGACTGAGGTGACGTCAAACGAACACTCAGGTTCAACAGGACCGACGACTTAAGTTCATAATTCGATTACAATTCGGAGACCCAGAAGAGACATACGATTGACAGCGATGTATACAAACACAGTCGTTGCATATGCACTTTTGGTGGAGAGTGTCGACGAGATGGTTCCTGTGACATTCAGAGAGACTGAGCGGAGTTCAGAGGCTGATTTGTGGCAGGAGACTATGCTGGAGGTTGAGTCTTTTCACATGAACGGCACATGAAAGCTTGTTGAGCTTCCAAATGGGCGAAAGACTATTGGTTGTAAATATGTGTATACCAAGGCGGACATTTAGGGCACTCCAATGAGGTTCAAAGCTAGATTAGTAACGAAGGGTTATGCACAGGAAGAAGACATTGACTACAATAAAATCTTTTCTCCGGTAGCGAAGCACTCTTCGATTCGGATCTTGCTAGCTTTGGTGGCACAATATGAATTGGAATTGGATCAGTTGGATGTGAAAAAAAGATTTTCTTCATTGTGATCTTGATGAAGAAATTTATATAACTTAGTCATTGGGGTTTCGAGCTGCCGAAAAGGAGAAATTGGTGTGTAGATTGAAAAAATCGCTATACGGATAAAAACTTATTGTGGATTTGCTCTTGTTGATGCCTTTCGAGGCCATTTGGATGAACTACGGGCGGCTTGATCCATTGGGAGAGAGGTGCGTAGGCAACCACATTGGTGCAGCCGAATTTGGAGAGACGACACATTGATGTTCTTGTTGGTGTCGTCTCAGTTTTGGAAACACTTCGCTGAGGAGGAGAATTGTTGGGTAGCAGGTTATCGGTTCAAACATGATTCCTAGTTTGTTTTGATTTTGGTTTTAGAATTGTTGAATTTCTAGTTTGTTTTGGTTTTAGGATTATTGGGATTCCTAGTCTATTTTGGTTTTGATTTTAGAATTGTTGGATTCCTAGTCTTTTTTGATTTTAATGTTTATATATATATGAAACGTTTTATAAGAGAAATTAGAGAGAGAAAAGAGTCTTTTGAGCACTTTGAGAGAGATTATTGTGAGGGCGTGAGAAATTGTTGGTTAGGGTTATTTTGAGTGTTTAAGAGAGTTGTAACTCGTTGTTTTCTCCTTCATATAGTGAAATCTCTCCATCCTCTTCCTGTGGACGTAGGCAATTTGCCGAACCACGTAAATCTCTGTGTTTTTGTGTGATTTTGGTCGTTCTTTTGTGAATTGCACTCGTTGGTTGTTTCTCCTCTCATTGCTCAACGACTCGTGTGGGTGTTTGGTTCGCGAGCACGCTTTTGCTGACATGCAACAGTTAGATAACATGAAATTCATAGATAAAACATCAATGCTACAACTAAAGCTGCCTTCAACTAAAGAACGTTTCAAGAACAAGAGTTAGAACTACATTGTTTGATGTAAAATTGGTTCTAAAACGATTTGTATTAATTGAACGTTGTTATAAATCAATAATCAAATTACACAGAAGTGAAAGGAATTAATTCGATCATTTCTTGTTTAATGTGGGTTCTTCTGTAGCGATAGGATGCCTCCCTCGAATGCTTGTATCGAGCTTGCTTCCCTTGGATGATTTGATCGAAATTGCGAATGAACTTTAGCGTATGATAGAAGTTCTATGGATTGAGTTCGAATACCCGAGCTTGAATTAAGACCGAATGCTGGTTCTTTTATCACCCAAAAGAACCGATTACCCAAGAGATTTCGATCTCGAAAGGCTAAAATGCAAGAATTTGTAAAGAGCCGAGAATTAGAGCCAAATCCAAGATCTCAAGAGCTAAAATCCGATAGCCAAGAGATAAAAATCCAGGATCCCCTTCTCTGTAGCCGTCCGAGGCTATTTATAGAGAATGATGGTGGTAACCAACCCCTCAAATCGTGGGAAGTGGGCGTAACCACTCCCACAAATCAAGCAATCAGTTAAAAACCGCTCAGGCGAGCTAGGCAAGCTAGCGTGCGGGTTGAATGGTCAGACGGGCTTGCAGGCGAGCTAGGCGAACAGACGAGGTTGTCAGGCAAACCCCTTAGGAGTTTAGGCGAGCTTAAACCCTGTAGGCGAGCTTGGTTTGTGCGGGCGGACCTTCTGGAGACGAGCTTGACTCGTGCAGGCGAGCGAAGCATTTAGGCGAGCTTAGCTAATTTGCTAGCTGACGAACTGAGCATTCAGGCGAGTCAAACTTTCAGACAAGTTTAAATCTTTTCGGGGCGAAGTCTACTGCGCAGGCGAACTTCGTTTCGCCTGCGGGGTCAAGCGTTCAGGCGAGCTTGACTTAGCCTTTTTGATGCAGGCAAACAAGCAGAATGAGGTTTGTTCTTGCGAGCTTTAGACGCAGGCAAAGTCTTGCAAGCGAACTTCTCAATTTTTGGGATTAAGGCAATGTTTATTGCCTACATACATAATGTTGTTAGATAACCCCGAAACACATAAATCAAGCATCACAACAAAATGCCATAACTAAACACCTAGACGGTGTCGTTAGATAATCTGAAGTGCAGAACCCAAGTATCACAATAAAATGCCACAACGAAAGCTGCCTTCAAATTAAAGAGTGTTTCAGCCACAGGAGTTAGAACCACACAGTGTTGTAAGATAACCCAAATTCCAGAGATAAAGTATCACAACAAAATGGCACAATTAAGCACCAAAATGGTGTCGTTAGATAACCCATAATCCAAAAAACAAGTACCACGACGAAATACCCCAACCAAACACCCTCCTCAAAATATCCTACTGAGTATAAGAAGAAGACAACTTGAGGCACTCACTCTGGCACCGACGAAGGCAAATATCATTCCAATTGGGAACCTGGTGCTGGTTAACACAAACAGTACGAGCACAAGCGTCAGTGCAAGCATCGAGCTCAGAAACACCACAGACAGTAACACAAGTGTCAGGCGTCGGGTCCTTAGAAAAGGCCCCGACTTTGTTCAGCATCCGCTTCGAAGTGCAAACCCTCTCGCATACAAAGACATCGTCGGAGCTCTTCTCGCGACCACGAGCGTTCTTGAGCCGTTGCTCCTCCGTGTTTCTCCTCTTCATCCTGATCGCCTGCCCTGCGATCACTGCTGGGATAGCTGCGCCCACTAAAGACCACCAAACGTCCACCATTTCTAAAAGATTGAAATATTTAGAGAGACGGGGGTGTAATAAAGCCTAAAAACTGAATTTTGGCAGATATTATGAAGTTCGGCTTTAGTGCTTAACATAAAAAAGCGACTTTGTGAAGGAGAACATCATCGTCTGAACCAAACTTACACCGATTGATTAAGAAAGGGCAAGTAAAATAGGGATAGGGGTCTAATAAAAAGCTAAAGATCGCATTTTGACACAAAGCATGGAGGTTGGGTTTTGGGGTTTAACTTAAAAGAGGAACTTTAGGCTGAGAATTTTGAATTGCTAAGGAGAATGGGCTTGATTAATGAATTTAATTATCCATCATACTTTGGTATTTGTTTGTAAATTTTTAGTGTTTAGGGTTTGTTACCTGAAGCGTCTTTTCTCGCGTCTTCTGCTCTTCCCGCCAAAAGAACTCGATCGGGCCCCACCTCGCCGACGACGACGGTGGTGAAGGAGAGAGAGAAGGTCTGAGGAATTCCTTTTAAGGATCGGCGGGTTTTTGAGGAGGGACCGGGAAAATTGGGAGGAGCGATCTGGCGCTTTTGCCCTAACCGAGAGTTTTCCCCCCAAACTTTTTGGTAAATTGCATACAACGCCCCTCATCTATTCATGAGGAAGAGGGGGATCATTTGCAATTTTATCCTTTTCAAAATGTTAAACTACTGAATGTACATAAGGGGGTTATCTGCAATTTACCTAATTTTTAAAAAAAGTTGAGACCCACACACACACAAAAAGAAAAGCCTCCATGCCTTACCACCTCTTGAACTATTACAATTTTTTAGTCTTATTTCATAACCCCTGAAAATTTTTAGTCCCTACATATAACATAAAGGAGAATTTTCTGAAAAAAGATCCTTTTTGAAGCAAATTAGCGAAAGTGATTTTTTTGATAAATAACTATCAAAATTGACCATCATGACCGGCCAAAAAAGGTTGATTTTACAAAAGATCATCTTTGAAATATGCGAGACTAGTAATCTCGTGTAATTGGCGAACGCTAATTAAGAGTTGATTAAAGTCCAGAATATATACATTACTACCAGTCCCGTGTACTCTGCAGAGACCTAAACAATACATGAGACTAGTAGTCTCGTGTATATTCCGAACATGCACGAAACTTGCACACATAAGTGTAACTTATCTCCTTTACATATACAATATCTCATCCACGTGAAAAAGTTCAAATTCACATCATCTATATATCCAAACATTATAATTTCATAAACATATAAATTCCATAAAATTATGCCTATAACTTTGTACACATCTAAACCTTCATACACAACTAAACAGACAAGAACATCATAACAAAACACAATTGATAAACACATAGTGACAACACAAATTATCTCCATACACCAAAACATCGCAACAAATATTACGTATATAGGTTTACAAATAACCTATATCGATAACTGAAATAGAGTCAATATATTGTAGACATCTAAAAATGTCTATAGGTATGAATATACCTATCTAAGTCAAAGGAGATCATCCAAAGTCAAAAGAAGCAAAGGAACATGTGAAACAACATAGAAGAACAATATGAACACCCACGACAAGGAACACTGAAAGGAACATGTGAAACAACATAGAAGAACAATATGAACACCCACGACAAGGAACACTGACGCGCATTTGCGCGGTAGTGGAAGGTGTTGTGCACAGAACAATATGAACACCCACGACAAGGAACACTGACGCGCATTTGCGCGGTAGTGGAAGGTGTTGTGCACAAACAGAGTGATATGCCTATGGGAATTTGTAGATATCTTTGATAGTTTTCCAACACATATTGGATCACCTCATTCCGACATCGGACGAGGAAGTTAGAGCCAAAATATCCGAGAGGTCGCAAACTGCATCGAAGGTGCGCGGCAGTGTACACTGCCGCGGCAATAGCGCAACAGTACAAGGTAACGCGCAAGTAAAGAGAGTGATGCGCCAATGGAAAGTTGTATAACTCTTCGATAGCTTTCCAATGTATCTTGGATCACCTCATTCCGACATCGGACGAGGAAGTTAGAGCCAAAATACCCGAGAGGTCGCAAACTGCATCGAAGGTGCGCGGCAGTGTACACTGCCGCGGCAATAGCACGACAGTACAAGGTGATGCGCAAGTAAAGAGAGTGATGAGACAATGGTAAGTTGTAGATCTTTTCGTTAGATTTCCAACGCATCTTGGATCACATCATTCCGATATCGGACGAGGAAGTTAGAGCCAAAATACCCGAGACAGCGCGAACGGTCTCGGAGGTGCGCGTCAGCAGAGACTGCCACGGAAATGTATTGCACATTTAAGCCATTATATGATCCAAATATGAAGAAGATCAAAAGACAAAAGTTGTAGATCTCTTTGTCAGCTTTCCAACGCATCTTGGATCACCTCATTCTGACATCGTACGAGGGGGTTAGAGCCAAAATACTCGAGAGGTACGCGGCAGTGGTAACTGCCGCGGCAATGTGCGACACCACGTACTGCCGCGGCCATTGAGAAGCTGAACACGTCATTTTTGATAGTTTTCTCGAGTTTTGTGTGGCCCACATGGTTTATTAACTGTTGGGGGTTACTTATGAACATGGGGGAAGCAGTTACAAGCGAAAATCATGCCCACTACCCACGAAAATCGTGACATTTAAGGAGTTAAAAGTTGTGGGATGGCGGTTACAAAAAGGGGGAGAGCATTTTTAGAGCAATTGGAAGAGGATCGAGAAAATTGGAGCAGATCTGAGCACAGAGAGCAGATTGGGGCATAGAGACTTGAGTTTTTGGTGAATTGGAGCAAGAGAGAGAGTCTTCCTTCTTCACAAACATCCTCAAGAAGCTTTTGGCCATTCCTAGAGATCTAAGCTCTGACTTGATCTTTAGAACAGTGAACATCTTACATCGATAAGATATTCACTTTAAATTCTTACTTCGATAAACGAAGGAAGAATCTCCAAAACCTTCACGATTCAATCAGAATCTGTGAATCGGTGGTCCACGAGTCAAAGCACTCCCGGCATAGGCAAAGTCCCACAAAACAGGAATCGATAAACGATTTCTGTGTTATTTTCTAGAAAGTTGTAATTTTTCTTTTATTGTGTAAAAGAAGTCTTATAAAAAGACTATTTTCTTTTGAATTTATTGTAATCGATCGAAGATATAATGAATTCCACAATGAAGTCAACTTTTGGCGAAAACAAACTGGCGACCACAGTGGGAGCCAACGGTCTCGCTACCGAGACCGTCGTGTCGCAGCCGATTAAGATTCCAGTTGAATCCACGGTCGAATACGAGTTCGACCAAACCAAGTTTGAGGAATATCTCTCATCATCCTCTTCAAGATCTTCATTGTCTCGCGAGTACAAGATGATCTCACCATTGAAGAAGACTTACATGCCAAAGAAGGCACAAAGTGAAGACTCTCACCCAATCGTTGCCGAGGCCTCCCCTCGCAATATTATCCCGGTGACCCCCAAAACCGGAAGCTCTGGTCACAATGATTCCACCCTAATTAAGGAATCGTTCGATCGAAGTTCGCCAACTCTAACGAAGAGGGCTCGTCAGAGGCAACGCCAATGTCTCGCTCATCAAATGGCTAAGGCCTTGGAACAAACCGACGGGGTTCACTGCTACGCGGACCTAGAGTCGAGGAAGCATCAAGTGGTCCAGTCGTCCCAACGACAAACCACTCATATCTCTGCACAACTCATGACGGAGGAATGGACTATCGTCAAAAGTGCTCATTCGACCCTCAAAGATCGTATACAGAAGCGTCGTGCAAACGCTATTCGTGTTCATGCCCTTCGTCAACAAACACAAGAAGGGAAGAAGAAAATGGTGTCTAAGGAAACACCAGAGAATCACAAAGTATGGATCCTCAAATCCAAACTCATACGAAAATTGGGTCTGCAGAATATAACCTTTGACCGCGACAGTCTTCACTGCCGCGGCGCTTCTTTCAACCGCGACAGCTCATACTGTCGCGGCATCTCCTTCAACCGCGACAGTCTCCGCTGCCGCGGCACACTGTTCGACCGCGACACCAATCATTGTCGCGGCCAAAAGAAGTTTCACAAGAGCACTCCTTTGACTCCATCAACGTCTGTTCCGGGTCCGTCTACTGTGTCAACACCCGATGTGTCACCAGTGAAACCCTGGGTCAGTCCTGACCTGTCGAAATCCAAAATTATAATGGCGAATGGCCTCGATCCTTTACCTGAAGATCGAGGCAAAGCTCCGGTCAAAGAACGCTTGGGTCCGGTGAATGAACACCAAATAGATTCTTACACTGGGGGTCGTAAGTATCCTCCTATCAAGTCAAAACAACTCAAAGATGGAAAAACCCTAATTTCTACTCGTTTGGGAGTTCGTAATGAAACTCAGGAGCCCGTTAAGACTCTACACTCGCAAGGGGGTGGTTCTAAACATGCGACTCCTGACGTGACCTTGGATCGCTCAAGTGCGACAACAAGTTGTCCTGAGAACGCCAACAAGGCTTTACATCCTCAGAAGAAAAAATGTTCGTCAAAAGACATTGTTATACCTGTGGGCTCATACCAACAGACGATAGGATTCTTCGGTAATTATACCGATGAGTTGTACTATCAAGCTGGGGGTGTGAACAAAACTCGAAAGAGGATTGTCCGAGAAATGAGCTCTCATTGTTTCTGTATGCGACTCATTAGAGCGGTACTGTCAGAATGTGACTACTCCAAACGAGAAGCCATGCTGCAAAGAGTCTCAGTGTTCCAGAGGTTTTTCACCGAAATGTCAAAGCCTAAACCGAAACATTTCCGCAAGAGAAGATCAGCTGTCCAAGATGACGAATTCCCTAAAGTCACCATCAACATGGCTGTCCAAGATGACGAATTCCCTAAAGTCACCATCAACATGGTTGATAAAAGAAAGTCTAAGCGGTATTCAAGTGACTCAAATCTTGACTTTTCCCCGAGAGGAAAAGTCAATCCAAGAATTGCTCAACGGATGTCTCGACTCCAATTAGGAGCCATTAGACGCAGGGATTACAAGAGAATGCATGAAGGAATGTCCTCAGAGGATGAACTTTCGGACACTTGTTCTGCGATTGCTTCGGATGATACAATATCTAGCACAGGGCAAGCCAGAGAAGTATTCACAATCACTCCTGATCAATTTGCTCAAATGCTTCAAGAAGCTCTAGCCAAGCAACGTGAAGAAATTAGAACTGAAATGAAGATGGAGATGGAGTTGGCTATCCAACAAATGAGAGAATTGCAAGCTCAACGGCCTCAACCTCCTGAATCCAGTCAGCGAGCTGAATCCAGCCGCCACACTCAGAAAGTTATAGATGATAGCGATCCAGAAGTGGATGAAGTCATTATGACTGATACACCTCCCAATGACAATAACACTGGGGGTGGTTCAACGGATCCTCCCAACAACAATATTGGGGGTGGTTCAATTGCACCTCTTAATAACACGGGAGGTGGCCCAATTATTTTTACTCAACATTGTTTGTGTCAAAAGTTGCCTTTTCCATTGTTTTCAAACCTGTTACACCGTTTATCGATTACAAGTTCAAACTGAAAGAAGAGATGATCTTTTTATAAGATC